TTTGGTTCCTTGTCCAAAGTAAGCAGGTTGAGTGTAGGTCACAGTGATTCAACTTCAGGTTAATACATCTGAACTTTTAAACTCTAAAGACTTTTTCTTTATTTTCATCCTAGAACTTTGAATGTTCAGCTCACATGTTCAGTGAGCTGAACATGTGAGAATCCAACTTACCTAAAACTGTGAGTTTGGTTCCTTTTCCAAAGTAAGCTTCGTTTCCAGTGTCACACTGAATCTCTCCTGGACCAAAAAGTCCCCAAACTTTCCATAATCTTCTCCCTCAGACCGGCTGTAATAACCCAGATCATCAGGAAGGTTAAACCTGCAGGATGAGCTTCATAACGTTTAAAGAAGTTGTGATTTCTGACCCTGAGGAACACATGACCTGATGGCTCCATGTATAAACTCAAACATGTGTTAATAAAAGCTGTTCTGTTTCTGGTTCATTTTCTACATATTAAAGTGTTTCTTAAAGCCTGGCTGAGCCTCCACTCTGCCCACCTCCACCTGCTTCCTGCTGCTGCTCTCTGTGCTGCACTCAGCCGTCCACATGATGGATGTTAATGCGAGGAGGTTTTTGTACGGCGGCTCTATAGGATTGTATCACCGTGGCCCCCTGTCCCCACGGTGGAAAAGCATCACACAAAAACCTGCTGCCTCCGTCTCTCCCCGCTCTCCGCCCCCCCCAGCCAGCCTCTCCGTATCTCAGCCTCCATCTGAGTCTCTGTGGGAGCAGCTGTGGAGGTCGGGCCGACTTGACGCTGGAGCAGCTCCAAGCTGCCTGCTGCTATTTCTGGGTCGGCTAAGAAAAGAAGGCAGAGCAGAGGACAGGAAGCTGCTGGCTGCTTTTGTTTGTTTGGAGGTGTAAACAGGAAGTGACACGTCAGCTGGTCATGACTCTGCAGCCAATCAGTCAGCAGAGAGAGAATTGGTTCACTGACAGATGTGTAATGATTTTACGTTTTGGAAATCTGAGAAAAAGAGATTAAAAATATGAAGTCAAGTTTATTAGTCTGGCAGATTTCAGCAAAAAGTTCTTTACATCATAAAGACATAATACAGTTACCAATTATGAATATAACAATAAACATTTTGTCAAACGACATCTTCAAAATTATCAAGCAAATGCAAATAAAATGCGTTGGTCAATGTTCCAGTTATTATGAATCAAATGGTTTTTAGCATTTATTTAAAGGAATTCTGTTTCAGCAGTTTTGTAGTTTTCTGGAAGTTTGTTTCTGACTGGAGGAATCATTGAAGCTGAATGAAGCTTCTCCTTGTTTGGTTCTGGTCAACAACAGAGCAGCTTTATGCTTACAGCAATATCAAAAATCATTCCTACATTCTCATTAATTCATGCTTCATTCATAAACTCTCCAGTTA